TACTGATATATACGGCGATCAGAAATTAATTTCTCTGGAGATTAAAAAGCTGGACTTTATTACTCTGTGTTTCCTATGCGTTGTTCACATTTCATTTTTAATTTGTATTATGCGTTTGTTTGATTCATGTAAAGGTCAAAAAGGTAGCCTAACATATTCATGTCATAGGTACTATCTAAGTACTCAGATACGTGTTTCATCGATTTTTTGCTGCTGCATGATACGCCTGCGATGTAAACATTTCCTTAGTGGGTCTGTAACATTCCTCCGCGCCGATTTCAGGTATACAAACTATGGATGAATATCAAGCTTATGCTTCCGATGCTGGACCAAAATGACCATTCCCCGGATACTCACCTTCGAGTCCTGATCTTTATTATTGCCGAAATTACCAACTTGCATCGCAGCTAAAGGAAGGCATTATACTTCTTCCTTACCCGCTGCGTGACGTGCGCTGAGCGTTAGTTTGTGTGATATATGCCTCGCAGGCTTCTACCCACATCCCCAAAAATTGCAGATTATTGATAAACTCATTCAACTAACAGTAAATGCGCACTATTTGGATTTGTCAACTGTCCTACTTGAAATCAGTAGATTAAAAGTACAAACAACCTCACTGTTTTATCTTCGGTAGATATCGCTACTTCTACCTTAACCTAACTTAATCCTCCGTTTTAGAGCGGAAAGTCAACCTATCTCTGCCAGGTGGCTCAGATCCAGATAATGGCCCAAATCGGCAGTTTCGTACCAGCCAAATTCGCCGCTATTCGATTGGCGGATAAAATATTTGTGCGCATGGGAAGCCGTGATGATATGTTCACAAACGCATCGACTTTCATGTTTGAGGTGAGCCACTTCGCCTACGTATCCTAAAACATTAAACAGATGCGTGAAGTTGGCCATATTATCCGATCGGCAACGGAAACCTCCCTCGTACTCATCGATGACTTTGGTTTATGTGAGTGATTTTTCGCCTTTGTTTGTATCTTTGCAGCTTCGCCTGCGGAATTCAACATGTTTAATTTTGTGTTTGAAGTCGTGTTTACTATTGATAGTTATAAAATCGATACACACGAAACGGCAAAACATAGGTCTGGAGTGGAATGATTTTTGATAATGCTTTTCGGCTACTTATGTCCAGCAACGAGGACCATGTCAGACTGACCTGATTTCTAATTATGTTGGCTACACTACGAATTTTCTCCAACTAGGTACAAGGCACTGTTTATTATTTTGCAGTTCTTTCCTTCCACCCAACCCTCGCCTTCGTTGCACAGCCTTTGAGGTTACAAGGGGCTGCTAGCTTGACCAAATTAGACGTAAATTGCCTTTGACGTGGAAAACTTTAGAAAAATGTCATATTCTAGTTAAGTTTATTTTCATTATTATCCTATACCTTACTGCACAGCCGCAAACATTTACAAAAAATTCAGATCGCTATCTAAGATTTCTGTCTAGTAACTACCGCAGAGATTTCTTGTTTTATATGTTATGAAAAGTCAAACTCTCCTTTGGAGCTCGATATAAGGGCCTACATCCCAAGAAAGTGGTAGTGGGCCGCACACTTAGAGCGTTTTTAAATGCGTAGTTTACTATACCACATGGTGATTAGTGCCGCCCCCAGCAGTAAGTGGAGACTACATGTATCGTTGGTCTTTAGCGATGGCGTTTTGTTATCCAAGTCGGGTTCCATTACTCATCAGCTCTTACATGTCGTGCAATAACCTAATTCGACCGCCAAGCCCTTTTGCAGTATTAAGCTGTAGAAATCACGAATTGTAACAAAGAGTCTAGGCGCGCGCTCCAAAGGGAGATCCTTTGTTTCTACTTCCAGGGTCTTTTATATCCGTAATGGTGACTCATTTCACTTATTAGGTACTACGGATGAGGACTGCTTTGCACTGAGCCATGCTGTGTGCTATCATTTGTCGCAGACGAGGGTAGGTCCTGTGTCTGTCTTCATTCCTGAAACAAACTAAGACCTTCACTTTTTTCGCCACCGCTGACGAGACCCTAGGACAACTGCAGTTTCAGGATGACAACATCGAGATGTGAGTCCAAGACTTTCCCATGTTTTTGCCACGGGCTACTTAGACATACTTCTTTACGTTTATATGATTTTCTCTATCGAAAATTAATTCGCCCAAGTTAGGCGTGTTATAATTTTTAAAACACAAAGCTTACGGCGACCGCTGCCGATCGCTCTCTGTGTGTCTGGGGATTGCGCGAAATAGTATTAAGACAGACTTATCCAGTTGTGCTACACAGGAGCCTACAAATTCCTTTATTAGCACTGCGATTTCCAGAAAATATGAAGA